GTCACCATTTGTGAGCTGGGCTTGCTATGTACAGTACCCCAAAGATGGGCCTGAGAAAGCTAAAATAACTCTAGACAAGGAGCCAGATGTGGCTTCCTTGTACCACAGTCTCTCATGTAGGTGGATGCTTGCTGCACACGGAGGCTCGTTCCTGCCACTGCCCGCAGACACAAGGGGGCGGAGCCAGCTGCCAGTGATGTGCACTAGCATGATATGGATATGCTAAGCTGAGCCATGGCAGTTTGAGATTTGTCTTATGTGGTCAGAGAAAGCTGCAGGCACTTGGCAAAGTCAGGCCAAGACACAGAGAACCTCTAAAAATATACAGTATGCTTAGGGATTGAAAAAAGAAAGAAAATGGATATAGACAACCATAGGAAAAAAATAGGCCAAATATAATAAAGTCTTTAAAGAGAAAATAAAGTAATATTAAAATTAATAAACTACGTAAAGATGGGAAATATACAGGATGTCTGAATTCTGCACAGTGCTTTATAAAGTTTAAACTTTTTAAACAGTAATAAAGAAAACAAAATAATGGCCATGGAGAGACATTGGATGAGTTTTACAAACCTGTTAAATTAGATCATCCTATATATTTTAAAGATGTATTGACTTCAGAATAGAAACCAGAATATGTATTGTGTTGGGTATGAGGTTTTGTTTTTGTTTCCAAAGGATACCATCAAGATTAATAAAGATTAATTAATTAAGATTAATTAATAATAAATTAATAAAGATTAATTAATAAAGATTAATTAGAACAGGAGAAACTTCCTGATTAGGAGAAGCAATAGTTCATCAAACATCTTAGTCATTCAATCCAATCTAATTTCTAAGGCTAACAAATGTCTTTCACTAGATTGGTATGAAAAAATTGATTTTTATTATTAAAAGATTATACTTTTTCTGTTGCCAAAAGAATTTTTGTCTTAGCAAAGATATAACCTATACCCCACAAAATACTCCCCAAAGTTTGAGTTGGGGCAGGATTTTGTTTTTGTCTTTTTAAGAAAATAAAAACATCCAGCTAAGAACTCCAGAGACCACTGGACAAAAGAAACATCTAAAGAAGAAAATAAAATCATCAAGAAAAAAATGCCCCCCCCCACAAATAAATTGGCCTAATGGTGTAGCCGACATCCAGCAGGATAAAATTTCAGAAATCTTCTCAAAAGTTTGTTTCTGCTGTTCTTGACAGTCATATAAAGCAAATGGGCTTTCTGTAGTCCCAATTCAGTTAAAAATTAAAGCATATTTCGGAGTCAGAGAGATCATGGCTCTCTCATTCTATAAACACAAGCATGCTCGTTAAAGGAAAATCCCAAATATGCCTCATCTTAGAAGAGTCACCTGGTATGGGACAGAAGAAAAACCAAATTAAGTCACTATTCTATTGCAACTAATCTCATAATCCTTTGGTTTTATTTTGACTTTTTAAAACTTTCTTTAAGATATAAACATTATCTCAAAACTTATAATATATATATATACACACACACACATATATATATGTATACACACACACAACACACATATATATATTTAATCTTTCCATCATGATATTAATGGTCATACAGAACACTGACTAATTATAGAAATAGGCTTCATATAGCTTCCTGTATGTGACTTTGGGTTTGAGTCTGAAGCAGGTAGCTGTTAGGATTCAGACTGGCCTGAATTATGGGGGCCTGTCCTGCTATCTGGCAGAATGTACTCAGGCAATACCCTGGCCAGTCCAGGGTCCTAGTCTGTATACAGGTACAAAGGTCCCTTTAAGAGACTAGTTCTGCCCACTCCCTGCTCTCTCCCTTTCTGCTATTCTCTCTGAGGAGGCAGCTTTTCTGTCTCTCCCTCTCTGTGTTTCTGTCTCTCTAGTTCTCTCATTTTCTCTTCCCCTCCCATTCCCTTTATCTCAGTAAACTCCACACTCAAACTCTGTCTGTATGGTGTGTTTGTCAGCCATTGGACCCACCCACCATGGGACCCTCTGCAAAGGCCTCTCTCATGCAGTCTCCTCTCCCACCTGTATTACAACAGTAGCTAGGAACTAAGTTTGTGTACCAGATATATTTAACAACTTGTGATCCTTTAACTTCTCCAAGACCGACTACATATGACATTTAAAATGTTTAAGTTTTCTGCTGTAAACCATACCCATTCCTGACAGTGACTTTTGAAGTCTCTAAAAAGGTGATGGGGCCCCACATGACAATTCCACCTGGATTGTGGCAACACCACTAAGCTGACAAACACCACCCAGAGATCAGTTTCAGATTACAAACTGCTCAAAATGTCCAAGCTGCTAGCTGAGAGGGTCCAGCCTCATAGACTACTCTAACCAGGACTTCAGGTAAGCCTTACACTTTCCCAATACACAGACTGGATAACAAATGTTACAGCTAGTTTTCAAGGAATATATATATATATATATATATATATATATATATATATATATATATATATATGGAGAGAGAGAGACAGACAGACAGAGAGAGACAGAGAGACAGACACACAGAGAGAGACAGAGATAAAGAGATACAGAGAGACAGACACAGAGAGAGAGACAGAGAGAGAGAGAGAGAGCAAACAGACCTTTTCTCACTTATGGATAAACTATCTGTGCAGACTTCTTCCCGCTGGAAGGCAGGTATTGCCTTGGTCTTTAAAATTATGCAAATGTCTTCTTCATCCACAGAACTATTTCCCTAACACTCTCCTCTGTGCACACCTCAGGAGTGAAGTGACTTTGGTTCCATTTCAAGATGAGAAAAAAGGATACCTGCCTGAAGACATGAGCTCTGCTGCATTGCCTCGTCCCCTACAAGTGCATCTACTGATGTGCTGCAGTTAGGAGCGTAGCTTACCCTCCCTACTGACCCCAGCATTCAGAGAGCAGACATCCCTGCAGTTGGCTTTCGCAATTTGTTCAGCTCTCCGCAATATACAAGTCAGATAAAAGGCTTCTGAAATTTACTAAGAGAATTTGTAACATGCCTATTCCTACTTGTGAAAACTAGTTAAAAGAACAGGATTTCTGGCAGAATGGGCATTTGGAAGTATAGTGGCACTCTGTCAATTTGAAATAAATGATACAATTAATATTTGTTTGATTTTTGGTGATTCGTTAAAAAGACAGTAAACAGATTCTTTAATGAGTTGGTAAATTTATTATTCACTTTGAATTTATATTTCTATTGTATTTTTCAAAAAAATCTAGCCTATAATACTCTTGCAAGCACTTTATTGATTAGCATATTATATTTCTTTGCAGAAAAAGTATATACAAATTTTAAATTACTTTTTAATTGTCCTCAACCCTAAGGCTTTGGTGTGATAAATTTCATTGGGTTTTGTGATCATGAAATTATTATCAATGCACCATTGTCTAAAACAACAAAATGTCCTACATAATTATTAAGTAAGTACTAATTTAAAAAGCTAAATTGTGTTTCATATTTATGTCTCTTGGATGGATGGGTTGTTATTTTTCTTGGCTTAGCTTCTAACAGCTTTGGATGGATTAAGTACTCCTGAGAAAAGCACTTGCGCAAGGAGCAGGTGAGAAAGATGGCGTTTGCTGTGACAGTGTCGCTAATCTCTTGTTTCTGACTTACGGACCTCAAATCACATAGCAATCTATCATCAAAAACGGTTTTTAATGATCTATCAACTGACAAGAAGGTAATGAATATTGATTTTATGGAGAGCAAGAAATTGTGTGACGTCTCACACCTGAAAACTCTTCACCCAGGTTACAGCACTGAGGGTGTGTGAGACAGGCACTTCCACCACCTCCAATGAACGGCATCTTCTAAAGATGCTGTGCAGTAAGCTTTGGAATGTCAAGAAAGGCTGCCCTCTTGTGTGAATCGGGAGCACATAAGTGCTATTATTTGGTTATTCAACGCCCCCCAAAGCCTGTGCATGTGCATTGAATAATTGGTTCCCATGGTGGCAGTCTGAGGAGATAGTGGAATGCTGGGGAGATGGAGCCTTATGAGAAGTCCTTAGAACACTGAAGAAATCGCCTTTCAGGGGGACTGTGGGATCCTGAGCTCTTCTGGTACTAAGGTGAGCAGTTTGCTCTACCACAAGCTCCTCACTATTGCTAGCTGGCACCCCTACCTGAAACCCAAGAATAATGGGTCTGTCCAATCACAAGCTGTAATTCCAAAAAAACCCTTAAGAACAAAGAATCCTTTTCTGTTTGTAAGTTAACTATCTCAGGTACTTTATTATAGAAACAGAGAGGTAACCAACATAGCTCTTGAGAGAAAAAGTTAGTTAAACATTTTCAGATGCAGGTCATTTCAGGAAATAGATTTTAAGTAGATGTACCTATAAAGATTGCGAGAGTTATTTATTTTTCTTAAGTTATCTATATCCATGTATCTCTTGGAGAGTTTTTATGTCTCCGCCAGTGCATGTGTAGTCACATTAAGACATGGAAGACTATACTGAAGTCACCTGAGTCCTTGAACCACCATCAAAGACAACGGAATGAAATGGTGGGGTGCCGGAAGGGAGGGATGAGAGAGTGGGGAGGAGTGGAGAGAACAAAATAGAGAGAAAGAGAGAAAAGAGAGAAAGGAGAGGGAGGGACAATCATGTTTTCTTATAATATGGAAACAACGCATTTCAGAAAAGCACAAATCCTACCATTTAAATGGCTATTGAGAATAATGGCCGCCTAACTGCATAATGCTGGACCTGCATCAGAACTCACTCTTCTTTTCTGGGTCTCATGGACTTCCTAATCATTGTTTGTTTTGGTTTCAAAAGGGTTTCTCCAGGATCTTATGCTTCTTTCCTGCTCTAGGACACAGGGACCAAAAGGCTTGGTGCTTTCTGCTGCAGATCGAAGAGATTTGGAGGATAACAAATATGATTTCCTTTTGCACACCAGCCTCAGAGGCATGGATGACTCCAAGGCCCCTCAGATATTAGCCGAAGATGTTATAAGGGACAGAAGTTGCTTCAAAAAGACAACGACTTACAATGAGTGGGCCCCGGTTGTTTTCACGATACTTGTTCTGGAAGAAAATGTACACGACAGTAGCGGCCAGAGAGTAGAGAAAAGCGAAGACAGCCACGGTGACGAAGAACTCCGCGGAGGACGAGGAGTCGCCAACCAGTGCCAGCTTCTGCCGTTCCTTTCCCTCACAGGTGGGCACTTCAAAGGTCACCTGGTGCAACCTGAAACCACCAGAGGCAAGAAGACATGACATGATTGTAGAAGGTGAAAAGAACGCTTGCTGTCAGGTCTGCTGACGTCAGCTTAGATATGCTTGGGAGTCCCAGGAAGCTTCCACCAGAGAATTTACTAACGAGTTTACAGATTCTAGCTAGACCCGTGGAAATAAATACCACAGAGGAGGTAATTCGCCCAGCAGAGGTGAGAAGGGAAAGAGAATCTGAAAGGAGCGCAGCCTTTGGCTGAGAGTCTGGCCTCTCCCCTTAACACAGTCCAGCAAAGCCTCCAGCCCCTTCCCTGCCTGTGTCTCCAGCCCCTTCCCTGCCTGTGTCTCCAGCCCCCTCCCTGCCTGTGTCTCCAGCCCCTTCTCTGCCTGTGTCTCCAGCCCCCTCCCTGCCTGTGTCTCCAGCCCCCTCCCTGCCTATGTCTACAGCTCCTTCCCTGCCTAGGTCTCCAGCTCCTTCCCTGCCTAGGTCTCCAGCTCCTTCCCTGCCTAGGTCTCCAGCTCCTTCCCTGCCTAGTTCTCCAGCTCCTTCCCTGCCTAGATCTCCAGCTCCTTCCAAAATTGCTTGAAGATCCATCCTCCTGCTCCAACACAGAGCCTGCATAACCTACCTCAGTAATACCAAGCAGGGTACAACCTGACTGAGTATCTTCTGCCTGTGCATGCCTCCTTGGCATCTGGGCTCCACATCCTCTCTAAGGAACCTCCTGCTAACTACTCACCACGGTGGGTTTTTTCCTTTTGACATTTTTATTATACTTCTTCCTCCTTTTTAATCTTTGAAATTATAATATAATTACATTTCTTCCGACCGTTTTAATCCCCTCACGCTGCGTTATCATGTGTGCGGTGTTTGTGACCAGTGAAGCTGTCTCGACAACATGCTCACTTGCTTTTGTTTATCCCTGTCTGCATTGCTTCCTCAGTGGTAACTACCAGTTTCTGCGATCGGGTGCGATTGCTTTTCCTCTTTCCCACGTACCCCAGCGCTGGCTTTTATTAGGCATGCGGCACTTGAATAAATGAAGGGACACTCTTGGCTCTGCCAGGTCTTAACTTGATTGACCGTTAGAGTCTTTGCCTTAGAGCACCCAGCCCTGCTTAGTCCACAGCAGAGACAAAGGAAAGGCTTGAGAAACACCTCCTGATTAGCTCACAGACACCCACGGAGACAGAGTACATGTCTATGACAACAGTTTGAGCTGAACCAAGTGTATTTGGTACAGGAACCAAGATTCTTCTGAAGGGACGGCTGTGGAGACACTTAGAAATCTGTGTTAAGGAGGTTCATTACGTTCACTGAGGATTTACTTGGGAAATTGCCTGTAGAAGTAACAGTGTTCACATAGCCACTCCTAACTCATATTTAGAGAGCAGTTTTTCTTACTAAGGAAAATGTAAATGACCCCTTTCAGAAGTGTCCACTGTGTACCCAGTCTACTATTTTGTACATTAACACTATCCCTGAAATAACACCAATAGCCACAGAGCTAGCATGACCACAGTGTTTCTTGTGCATTAAATTCTGTTTTGAATACATTATTTAACTTAATGTCCATAGCAAACTCCACAATGTGGGCTCTTTGCTGCGCTTCACCATTAGCAGGTGAAGCAACGGAGGCTTAGAAGGGCCACGTAGTCCACCTTAAGACACCCAGCTAGTTTTGGCGGGCCAGCGGTTGAAATTCATGTCAAACTCCAGAGTCTTTTCAAAAAAAACATTCATATTAACTTGTTTATACTAACTAATCAAGACATCAGCTCGCTCAGATGGGTGCTTTCGAAATGAAACCCAGGGCCACTGGCAGCAAGTTTCAGAGAAGGTGGCTTATCTGGCAGGGCCTCCCTCCAGACCCACAAAAGTCCTACAAGTGAAGCTGTATTGAGAGCAGAAGGAGGAAACCCAAATCTCTTAAGCTCTTCCTTTCTTACAGATATAGTCTTTTAATTTGAATTCTTGACTTAGGAAGAAGCTTACATTGTGCACTCGGACAAGGACTTTTATCTTGACCGATAGATAGGGGAAGCTGTGCTAGGACAGAGAACACTAGCTCTGGGGATCAGATCAGATTGGCTTCAATAGCCTTCTCTGTGAGAAGGTGGGGGAAATGAATTAGAAGGAAAAGGTAATGATTTGAATTCTGAAGCCGATGATCTCAAGGCTCGTTTTCCCTTCCCTCCCTATTGTTAATCTGTCATTCATCAAACAGATGTTTGACAAGCTACTCTATTTCACACGAGAAGCGGGTGCTGGGTATGAGATGGGAAGCGAGAGGTGGGATGGATTCTGCTCAGGCTGAAACTCAGTCTTAATGAGATTTCAGAGTGAAAGCTCAGCCTATCCTGGTTATGAGGGAGTAGAGGGAGGTTCCCTGATGGATTTTACCTCTAGGCATCAGCTTCAGAAGTGATCAGAAATTATCTAGATCAAAAGATAAGAAAGAAAAGCAAGATCTGACTTCATGACCACACAGATGGCTATCCAGTGTAAGGACTGTGAGAACAGCAAATGCTGACAAGATTTAGGAAGCTGACGGTTTTCCTCATGGCTGGTGGAAACGGGGCCTGAAGCAGGCGCCTTGGAGAACTGTGGCAGTTCTTTAACTGGTGAAACACTGAGTTACTGGAGGTTCCTGCCATTGTACTCCTAAATACGTATGCAAGAGAAATGCTAGCATATGCTCACACAGAAACTAGCATATGAGTACTTACGCAGCGTTATTCCTTATGGGAAGAATGGAAACATTTCAAATGTCGATAAACTGTTAAACAGATAAAACACGGTGTGGGGTGGACTCTTATTTGTTAATAAAAGCAATAAAGTTCTTATACTTGTTACATCATGGAGAAACCCTGAAAGTATCTTTGCTGAATGAATGAAGTAATAAATAAAAGTCAAATACTTTGTGCTTTTATTTATATAAAATATGCAGAAATAAACAAATTCAGGGAGCCAAAAACCAGCTTAATGTTGCCCTTCAGCTGGTATGGGAGAATCTGGCATGGTGGGTAAATGTCCCGAGACTTGTGTGGGAGATAATGAGCAGTTCTGAAGTCCATTGTGATGGACATGCACCATCCAGCGATGAAGATATCAATATTATCCTAACCCATGGCTCAGCAGTCAACAGCACTTGCTGCCCTTCCAGAGGATTCAGGAATGTATGTGTGTTCAATTCACAGCACCCATATGGCAGTTCACAACTCTTGGTAATTTCAATACTAGGGTACACACTGACTTTTTCTGGCCTCTGCGGGCACCGACATATGTTACACAGACATACATGCAGCAAAGCATAGAAATAAATTTTAAAAAAAGACAATAATAAATGGTGAATCACCTGGAAAGTGGATTAAATTTTTAAAATGTTACAAAACAGAGAGGAGCACGTGTCTAATCCCTATATAGGCAAGAGGCAAGTGCACTGGGGGGATGCAGTGTACAGAGAAGTGTGGTGTGGATGGAAAAAGCTATCAGATGATGGGAAAGGAGGACAGAGTAAAAAGAGAACAAGAGACAGCCAGAGACGTCCTCTGGGGGTGGGGCAGAAGCTGTTGAGAATCACGTTATAGATGCTGGCTTTCATTTGAACACTAGCCATATTTCCTCAGCATAAACAACATATTAAACAAAACTAAAATGCAAGGTAAGCAAAACCCACAATCCCTGCTGCAGCGATTTGGAGATGTGTCAGGATACGCTTCAAGATCACTGTGTCTCCATCATCCAGTTCCTGCTACTGAAGTGCAGCACATGGGGCCCCTAGCAGAGGGCAGAGGTTTCAGGAAGGGAGAGAGGACACAATCAGCATTGTTTTCTATGTCATTGGCTGAAACACCTTATCTCTAATGTTGATTCGCCTGGTTAACGCAAAGAATTTTTCAGCTGTGATCATCTGTATAAAGAAATAAAATCAGAATTTAAACTCTATTGTACCTATCAATACCAATGCTATATAGTGGCGTGCTTGGCTCCTCGGCAAGCAGTACCCACCTATGGGCTTCGTTCCCGTCCCTGCCTTCAGGTTCCTGATTGAGTTCCTTCCTTAACTTTCTGAGTTGTAAGATGAAATGAACCTTTTCCTTCCCAAGTTTATTTTGGTCATTCTGTTTAACTAAAACAATATTGTATATCACTGCACACATCTACACCCCACCCCCACATGCATGCACAGGTACCTTTAAGCAACTTGTGTGCATGTATGTATGTGTGTGTATGTATATATATATGCATATATATGTGTGTGTGTATACATACACTTGTATATCTGTGTGTATTGCTGCAGAAGAGGTGTGGTTATCGTCAGCATATATTTTGCAACTGCAATAATTTTCTGAGCAAACATCATTAATTTAGAAGTTAAACAAGGGACAGATACTGTTCCCTAGAGATAGAGCATGCCCGCTGAGAATCTGAAAGCTGCCAGGTCCACCTCTGATCTTGTAAAGAAGTCAGAAAGCAATTGCTGAGGTCGCAAAAGGCACCCAATTCAATTTGTTGATTTCAAATGTACAATTCCCTCATTCCCTTCTTGGTTGACCTGACACAATCTAGGGGTAATTGAATTTTTCTGGGTTTTACTGCATTTTGTCTATCAATAAAAGGCTTCCATTTTAGAGTAGTTTTTCTCTTAAAAAATTTTCAGCACACCCATGGAGCCATTTCTAACAATCCACGACTCTCTGATTAAGTTAAAGGAGTCACCATGAGTACAAGGTTTTAAGTTTTGTTTGGCGGCCCTGGAAGAATATTAAGCGAAACTCTCTCCTCAGCGGTTTGGAGAAGGGCCAGTTGGTATTGCTTTATGGATAGCAATGTTAGTGTGCGCTGGGGAAATGGCTCAGTGGACAAAACACTTGTCATACAACCATGAGGACCAGATTTTGGGTCAACATCACCCCTTTCAAATAAAAAAAAAAGTCCTGAGTTCTGCATCCAGTGGAAAGTTCTGTCCTCAAAGAGGGTGAACAATGATTGAGGAAGACTCCTAGCATCAA